GGGCAGGGGTTGAGAGAGAGAGACTGAGACCCGGGCAAGGATGAGAGTGTCACCCGGGCGGATGGGGACACTGGGGCAGAGACGCGGAGAGTGAGATGCAGAGAGAGGCGGAGGCAGCCCAGAGGCTCCCCGAGCAGAGGGGCCCGGGGCTCAGAGAGGGGAGGGTCTGGAGTCAGGGGTCAGGGAGAGAGGTGGAGGCGCACCTGAGGCCTGGAGAGACCGAGTGACCCCCTCTGCAAGGCGGGCAGAGACTCGGTCTCAGGGAGAGGGGAGCAGGGGCCAGGAGACACTCACGGAAAAGAGACACCAAGGCAGGGCTGCCAAGAGGGAGAGGCCCCAAGACACAGAGGTGGGGGCCAGGAGTCAGCCAGGGGGACAGAGCCAGGGAGAGCCTTCCTCCAGGTGACAGGTAGGGACAGAGAGGTGACAGAGAGCCAGACACAGAGACGGGGGACCCAGCCAGAGAGACCATGAGACACCCAGCAGAGGTGGGACCTCAGGCGCGAGGCTCAACCCCTCCGTGCCTCAGTTTCCCTGTGAGATTGGGGACGGCTGTGTGCCCGCCTCCAACCCCCAAACGCCTCGATGCGCACAAAGGTGAATTCACTCGTGTAAAGCACACAGCCAGCTCTCAATGAATGTGGGCCACTGCTGGTTTCTTCGGTTTTATTTAACACGTTCAGGGGGACAGAGAGGACGATGCAACGAGACCCGCGTGGCCCGTGAGCAAGACAGAGCGAGGAAGGTGCCGAGCGCGGCTCAGCGGGGAGCTGGAGGGGACAGGGCAGGGAGGACACCCTGCGGAGATGGGGACTCAGAGGGCTCAGTGAAGGGGGGAGACGGTTCAGGGACAGAGGTGCTGACAGGCACACAGGTGGTAAGTGCCAGGCGTATGGGGCAGAGGTGGCCCTGGGGTTCAAGGCAGAGCCAGTGAGGGACTGGGACAGAACCCAAGTCCCCAAGGGCACCCCATCCCCCAGGGTGGCACAGAAAGATGAGATGGGAGTGAGAAGGCAAAAGGTGACAGGCACTTCCAAAGGTGTCCCTGTAGCCCAGCTGGCGTGGCTCAGCAGTTGAGTCAAGACCTAGGACCCAGGACATTCAAGGTTCCGACCCCAGTCGGGCACAAGCCCGGGTTGCAGGCTCGACCCCGTCAGGGGCGCGCAGGCGGCAGCCGATCAACGACTCCCTCCCATCACTGATGTTTCAACTTTCTCTCTCCCTCTCCCTTCCATAAAGATATATACATATATTTTTTAAAAAGTCTCCTTGCAGAACCCCCTCCTGGCCCCCAGACTGTGCTGAGCTGGCAGGGGGCTCTGGGGCTGGATGGCAGCTGGAGTCATTCCCCTAGCACTGGGGGGGCAACGGCTCAGGTCCCCAGGGAGGTGAGGTCACAGCCCCCCCATGGTGGTACATGACCTCATCTCCCCAGGTAAGCATGCTTGCTCTCTCTTGGTCTGCCATGGCCACCCCTGCCACGGCCCCCCAGGGGCCCTCCCCAGCCCCTGCTCCCGCTGGGACCCAGGCCTCTGACCACTGGGAATCCACCCCTCAGGGGGCCTACTTCCGGCTGAGTCAGCGTGGGGGGCCCGAGGCTGCGTCAGTGAGGGGAGAACTGACGTAGCCCCCCCCAGACTGGCGGGGGCCAGCCAAGGTGACTCAGGCCACCAGCCTGGGGGGTGGACTGGCCTGAGGGGATGGGGCCTGGGCCTGGGGCCAGTCTGAGAGCAACAATAGGGATCTGGTCACAGCAGCCCCTCTACCTATAGAGAAGCTGGGGGGACAGCCTGAGGCCCCAGAATCAACCCAGGAGTCCAGGCGCCCAAACCCTCCTCCCTCAGACCCAGGAGGCAGGAATCCTAAACCCTAGTGTCCAGAAAGGGGGAGGCAAACTGTAGTGCAATTTGGGGAATGCTCTGCTGGGGCGGTCAGGAGCCTGGGCTGGGACCAGTTTCCCCTCTGCCTCAACCCTCGCCCTGGGGCTGTGGGGCCATCTTCTCCCAGGTGGCCCTAAGAGGCTGAGGGAGAAGGGAGGGGTGCAGGACAGGAGGGGGTATTTTCAGGATTCCTGGGTCTTCCCCGGGGTTGGGGACACTCAGGCTACTTCTGTGGAAAGGAGGGCAAGAGGGAGAAAGAACACAGAGACCCGAGGTGAGAAAAAGACAGATGCAAAGGCAGTGAAAGCTAGACGTGCAGAGGGAGAAGCTGAGGACGAGACAGACGCTCGGCGAGCAGCCGTGGGGAGGTACCACGGGGACCTGAGGAGGAGGGAGCCCGGGGTCCTCGCTCATGTGCTGGCCCTCAGGCCAGGCGGGACTGGCTGGTGTGAGGTCAGCAGGTCCCAGGCTGTGTGTGTGTGTGTGTGTGTGTGTGTGTGTGTGTCCGTCTGTCTGTCCCTGGGGGGTCCTGTCTGGCCTCTGGGGGGTGACGGAGCAGGCGGGCCGCAGAGGCAGCCCAAACCTGTCATTAGCGGTGAGGGCCCTGACGGTGGGGCCCCCCCAGTCCCAAGCCGCGGTCCAGGGCC